ATAGAGCATCCACAACTTCTGGAGATAAGCCATTCTACTGGTTAATTGTTCTATCAGGAAATTCCTCCTTATTTCTAAGATGGTTCTCTCCTTGATCAGTTTTCATCCATTGCTTTTTATCCTGCCTTCAGGTGATTGGAAAGTAGGTTGACCCCCTTGTGGCAGTTACTTAAATATTGGGACACTACTATCAGAAGAAGAGTTAAGTATTTGTTGCTGGGTCACCTTCCATAAAGTCCAATGACTACACATGAGAAGACAGAGAAAACGGAGAACAAACAGAATCTCTGTGGAAAACTTCCAATTATGTAGAAGGATCTTTCCTTACCTATTGAGTTGTCCTGATATTGACCATCCTCCTTGGAAATCCTTCTGAGACATGGACTGTGAGAGGAATTTGCAGGATCCACCTTTTCTTCAGGACACTTGATGCCAATCTCCAGGAAAGACCCCAGAACCTGAATAGAATAGAATAGAATAGAATAGAATAGAATAGAATAGAATAGAATAGAAAATGGAGTGGAGTGGAGTAGGGTAGGGTAGGGTAGAGTAGAGTAGAGTAGAGTAGAGTAGAGTAGAGTAGAATAGAATAGAATAGAATAGAATAGAATAGAATAGAATAGAATAGAATAGAATAGAATAGAATAGAATAGGAAATGGAGTGGAGTGGAGTGGAGTGGAGTAGAATAGAATAGAAAATGGAGTGGAGTGGAGTGGAGTGGAGTGGAGTGGAGTAGAATAGAATAGAATAGAATAGAATAGAATAGAATAGAATAGAATAGAATAGAATAGAATAGGAAATGGAGTTGAGTGGAGTAGAATAGAATAGAAAATGGAATGGAGTAGAATAGAATAGAATAGAATAGAATAGAATAGAATAGAATAGAATAGAATAGAATAGAATAGAATAGAATAGGTGGAATGGAATGGAATGGAATGGAATGGAATAGAATAGAATAGAATAGAATAGAATAGAATAGAATAGAATAGAATAGAATAGAATAGAATAGAATAGAATATTCTTTATTGGCCAAGTGTGATTGGACACACAATTTTTTTGGTGCATATGCTCTCAAGATACATATGTCATAAATCATAGGTATAACACTTAGAAGTAGTAAATCCTACTAGGAAACATATATATAGGAAACATATAAAACATATAAATCATACTAAATCATATAAATATAATATAATATAAATATAAATAGACAAAGATGCAAAGTTAAAAGTTGGAATTTCAGTTTCTGCCCACAATGTTGCTAGGCCTTTGCGTCGTCCATAATTTGAAGAGGACGATGGAAGAATTGCTCCAAATATATTATTTGGAAGAACGTAGGAGCAATGTCACCAATAAAGTTTTCTAACCATCTCACTGCATTATTAATCCCGAAAATTCTTAGGGAGACATTTAAGATTTCAATTACATTAAGATCCCTTCCTATTTCTCAAGGGCGGTATCTCTCACCTGATACCCTTCCTGCTCCTCCTCTTCCTTTGCCTGATTCAGCAGGAAACCTTCGGCCAGGGCCACCGCCTGGCAAGTGGTCTCCGCTCGGCACTCCCGCACCCAGCGCTGCATCTCCCTGGGCAGGACGGCCAGAAACTGCTCCAAGATCACCCGGTCCAACATCTGAGCCTTGGTGTGCTTTTCGGGCTGCAACCACCCCCAGCAAAGACGATGAAGGCGGCTGCAAAGCTCTCGTGGTCCTTCGGCCTCCTGAAAGGGGCTGTTCCTGAAGTACCAATGTTGGATCTCAGAACTGAGAGCTTCCTTCTCTGGGATCTTCTGCCCAGGTCCTACCCAGACCTCCACACAGTTCCCAGGCTGAGCGGCAGTGGAGTCTTTCCCCACGCCTTTCCATTCTGGGTGGATTGCATCCATTTTGGCCTCTTCTCTGACAGGGATCCAGAAGGACCCTGTGGATCTCTTGGGTCTCCAAAGGTTGTTGTTGGTTTTTTTCAATCTGTTTTCAGTCCTGAGATCCGATGGACTCGCACAGAGAATCCCGGAGAAGATTTTCAAGCCCTTCAGCGTTTACATCTGAGGTGAAAAAGAAAGGAAACTTCTGGAATTACGGATGGTTCTCATTTAGAAACAGTGATGATTGCTTCCTCAAATTCAGGGGAAATTTTGTCTGGAGGGGAGACAAAATTCCAAGACGTTTCAGCCTCAGGGCGACGTCTCTCCCTGTGTCTCATCCCTTCCTCCCCCTTGGAGACCAACCATTATTTTATTTTTTATTTTTTTTGGGGGGGGGAGAAAGGGGTCTTCTGCAGAGGTGCAGCTGAGCTCCACTAACAGTAGGAAAAATAATGGGGGGGGGAGGCCCTTACAGCCTCGCCAGCCATTTGAGGCACAGAATTTGTCCTTTGCAATCCCCCTCCTCAAAAAAAAAAAGCTTTAAATGGGACCGTTTGCAGAGGGGAGGGGGAGAGCATCAGGCAAAAGAAAGGCCATTTCCCAGGATCCTTTCTTGGTAGAAATTCTGAAAAGCAAACCTGGTTTACGCACAATATGAACACAGCCCCCCCCTCCCCCGCAACTCTTTCTCCCACCGTCATTCCCCCCACCTCACCCAGGGTTACATCTCTTGCATGCACAGATGGAGCAGGATGGGGGAAGGGCCCTTTCGGGAAATCCGGGGTTCCCCTCCCTCTCAACTCTTTGGGGGAGGGGGGAACCGTACTTTATCTTCCTCCCTGACAGCATCCACCCCCTATTGGAACGGGGGGGGGGCAATTTCTCACCCTTCGGGTCGCGGGGGGGTGTCTTCCCCCTTCTCCTCCTCCTCGCCTCGATCTCTTCCCCGCCCCCCAGAAATTCCCACGGGACAACTCACAGCCGCTCCTGCCCAGTGCCAAGCAGACGGGGCGGAGCAGGGCTCAGTAAAGTGAGTGAGCGCCCCCTACCGGCTCCTCTGGCCACGACCTGAGCCTTTTGAAGGTTGGGGTGGTGGGTGACTTTGAAAAGGCCCGTCCTGGCCAATCCCTGCGGACAGATGCCCCTCCTCCATCCTTTTTTATTTTATTTATTTATTTATTTTATTTATTTTGTCAAGCAATTATAAGATAACGGGTATAAGTATAAACATAGTTATGGATCCATGAAATGGATACACATAAGAAAAATAAAAAAGAAACAATAGGACAGGGACCTACCGTCCCTGTCCTATTGTTTCTTTTTTATTTTTCTTATGTGTATCCACTACAGGCCTCTTAGGAAAGGGGTGAGGTCAATAGTAGGCAGTCTAAGGGGTTGTTGTTTTTTTGAGACTGGCATTTCTGTCGGCACCAATTCTTGGTGGGAAGCCTTTGTGGAGAGCAGAGAGTTTGCACAAAAGGGTTGGATAATACTAGGGTACTGTTCGTACCCTAGTAATACTAATTAAAGCTATTAGTCTAAAACCTACCATTTGTCTGAAATGGTATATAGGGTTTCCTGCCTGAGCAGGAGGTTGTACTAGATCGGGGGTCCCCAAACTTGGCAACTGGAGAATTCTGGGAGTTGAAGTCCACAAGTCTTAAAGTTGCCAAGTTTGGGGAGCCCTGTACTAGATTCTAAATCTAGAAGACCTCCAAGATCCCCGCCAACTCTGTACTCTACTCTACTCTACTCCTACTCTACTCTGATTAGCTATATGCTCTGTTCTTCCCAGGAGGCAGGATCTTCAGAAGCCATCTAGTACAACCTCCATCAGGAGGCTCCTCCCCTTCACCTTTTCTCACCCCTGCTACAAAGAGGCATTTCGGAGAGGAATATGGCTGGCCCAGGCTCTCCCCTTCCATGGATCCAATCCACCCACCCCTCCATCCGTGAAGTTGGAAAAGGGAGCACAGTAATGGAAGCAGTAATGGGATTCAAAAATTTTTTACTACCAGTTCTGTGGGTGTGTTTTGGTGGGCATGGTAGGGGAAGGATATTGCAAAATCTCCATTCCCTCCCCACTCCTGGAGGAAGGTTACTGCAAAATCCCATTCCCTCCCCACCCCACTAACCTGATTTCCAACTCCGTTCTCTGGTCACATCCCGGACATAAATTGTTTAACTCCTTCCTTCAAAATGACGCTATAGAGCACTGCACACCAGAACAACAAGACACAAGAACAGTTTTTCCCCGAACTCCATCACTCTGCTAAACAAATAATTCGCTCAACACTGTCCAACTATTTACAAAGACTGCACTACTATTACTGTTAATCTTCTCATCACTCCTTATCACCCATCCCCTCCCACTTGTGACTGTATGACTGTAACTTTGTCGCTTGTATCCTTACAATTTCTATGGACTGTTTCCTAGGATGATTTTATTGCTTATTGTACCCTATGACTATCATTAAGTGTTGTACCTGATGATTCTTGACGAATGTATCTTTTCTTTTATGTATAATGAGAGTATTTTCACCAAGACAAATTCCTTGTGTGTCCAACCATACTTGGCCAATAAAGAATTCTATTCTATTCTATTCTATTCTATTCTATTCTATTCTATTCTAT